TGCCAAAAAAGAATACCCCGGCACGCGTGAAGGCCGCAGCGCTCACAGAGAAGAAGCGGCCGCATGGCCACGCAGAACCGCCCGCCGGCGCTGCTGCTGCTGCTGGTGCACGGCGGACATATCCCGAGACATCACAGCGGCGTTTACAACAGCGAGCGCAGCAGCAGGGAGAGGAGGAAGACTCGCTAAATTCCTCTGCTTCATCACTTGGTGCATATTTGGCGTTCGGCACACGACTGCCGCTTAGCGCACTGAAGAAAGGCCCGCGCAGCCCGCCGTTGCAGCCGCTGCCAACAAATGTGGACAACCGCAGCTACGGCTGTGGCGGCAAGAAGCGGGAGCGGCCGCGCAAAAGCAACGGTGAGACCGTTGTGAAACGCATCCACGCTCCATCGCCGCTCCCACGGCCGCCTGCCAGCGGCGATGGCGCGCCGTGTGCTCTGAGCAGTGCACTGAGCTCTGCTTGTGCACGCACGGGTGCCGCTGCGGTGACTACAAATGCCACTTCTGCTACTTTTACCCGAGGCCCTGGTGGGGTTGACGGGGTGGCTGAAAAAGGTAAAGGCCGGCCGCCTCAGCATCGTCCCCGACCCTCAGTGATCGTGGCGAAGGATGCGTGGGGTGGAGGAAAGACAGACGATGTCTTTGCGGACATTTTTTCACTATAACCTCGTGGGCATTGCGTCCCCGCGTGTGTTTTTTTTTCATTGCGCTCAATCCGACAGATGATTCATTGTTTTTTTTTTGAATTAATTGATTTGTTGGTTTTGTGATGTCTTTTGTGGGGGACGGCGTGAAGGAAAAACAACGGGGTGGAGGAGCCGTGACGGTCCGGCATTTCTTTTGGTTTTTTTTTTTTGTGGCCGCGCCCTCATTGACGGCTGCGAAAACATGGCTGCTGCACTTCCCCTGTGTGTGCCGCGGCTTCGGGCTTCCTTGCTCTCCCTTCGTATGACTTCGTTTCCTCCGCCTACTCTGCACGTTTGTGCCGTACGGTCGTGTAGGTTTTTGTTTTGTTAACGAGAACGAAAAGGATCGGCTCAGGTGACTCGTCGCACCGCGCACATCGTATAAAATAGGCCGAGTTGGAGAGGGAGAGAACAAAGAGCCCCTGTGCTGTTGCTTGCTCCCCCATCTCTGCTGCAGCCACCAGAAACCACTCTAACAATACGGCAATTTGTTTGAGGGGGTGCACAGGAGGAGAGGGCGAGCCGTGTTGGGTGCAATCGGGCCTGTCGCTCTGCCTTTGATACCGCTGTAACGAAGCGGGCAAGGGTCAGTGCGTCGGTTGCAACACGGCAGGAGACATTTCTCCCCATCAACCTCCCCCAAGAAGAGAAAAAGGAGCCAAATAGGAAGGAGGGGAGACGACACTCGGAGGGACGACGACCATTGTGTGTTGCAGCAGGGCTCCGCATTTTGATCCTCAGCAATACGCCCAAGGACCTGTATACTTTCAAATATATATTTATTCAATCAGGAGGGAGCAGGCATTAGTAAAATAGTGGCGGACCGGTGAGAGGACTCTTTTTTACTGTTTCCGTGTGCGTTTAAGTGCGCAGAGACAATGTTCAAAAGCGAAAGCAACCCGTCAAGGCTGATTTTTGGAAAGCGTGTCGTCGGGACATCCTCAAGGCTGCGGCGTGAAAACTGCGCAGGGGCGTGCACCGTATCTACGAGCGCGAGCTACAATGGCAATCTGCAGGCCTCCTCCCATAGCTGCAGCACCCCACCGCTTGGTGGTAGCACCCTGCGGGTCGCCAGCAGCTGCGTACTAGAAATGCTAACGGCGGAGCCACCACTCCTGCTCGAGGGAAGCACATCGACAACGACAACGACAACGATGACGCCAACAACGACGACGGCTAATCAGCGTCGCAACAACGGTTTTTTTCTCCTTAACTACTATCAGAACTCTGGTGTGGAGGATGACAGCGTTGTTGTGGAGGCGGGGGAGCCGAGTAGCCCATTGGCGTGCTTCCGCTCATCCCACTCTCAGTCGGTGCGTGTGACGTCGCCAATTATAGTGCCCGAGGAACTTTCTCCAACCTATGGTGCCGGTGAATACACCTCCTCGCCGAGAACGCGGCGAAAGAACGGCACTAAGAAGGAGTCTGAAAAGGATTTAAACCATTACAGCAGCAAGACCAGCTCGCGGTGGCACTCTAGCAGTGTGGGTGGCGTCACACACAGCAGCGTGACGCGCTCGCAGGATTCGACGGAGAAGGGCCCGATGCGAGTAAGCCTCGCGCACAAGGCGCTGATTGGTCGAGGCAGCTTTGGTGTCGTTTTCCAGGCCATGGACCGCGACACCAATCATATCATCGCAGTGAAGGAGATAGACTTTACAAAAGGTGCTGACAACAAGGCGGTGGAAGCAGTGCGCAAGGAGCTCGCGATGCTGAAGTTGCTTGACCACCCGCACATTGTGAAGTGCCTAGGCGAAGAGTGTGATGAGAGTTGCTTGCGCATTTACCTTGAGTACGTATCGGGCGGAAGCATCAGTAGCGTCCTGCGAACCTTCGGACCGTTCCAGGAGAAGCAGGCGTCCATCTACGCGCGGCAAATGCTGGAGGGACTGGAGTATCTGCACAGCATGAACATCATGCACCGCGACCTCAAAGGCGACAACCTCCTTGTTGACCCGCACGGGACGCTGAAGATAACGGACTTCGGCACCGCAAAGAATCTCCTTGACCACAGTGACCCCACTGCACTCGCCGGCACGGCGTACTTTATGGCACCAGAGGCCATCCTCGGAAAGGATGTGGGACTCCTGAGCGATGTGTGGTCTGTTGGCTGCTGTGTGATTGAGATGCTCACAGGTAGCCCGCCCTTCTCAGAGGTGAAAAATCAGTACGCCTTGATGATGCGTGTGGCGGGGACGAAAGGGGAACTGTTTCCAGGCATGATTCCGGGTGGGCGCAAGTTCTCTGAAAGAGCAATGACGTTTTTGCGTAGATGCCTCCAGCGCGACCCGATGAGGCGGCCCAGAATGGGGGAGTTGCTGAGGGACCCGTGGATTGTGAGCCCGCCTGACGGTGTTGAGCCCGCACATGTTCTCAAGAACAATGGCGGCAGCAATAGTAACAGTAACAACAACAAGAGCAGTGCGCTGCCCGAGGGCGTACCTTGTAGGAGCAAAAAGGCCTCGGGTGGAAGTGGCTGTGGAGCTGGGATTGATGGCGTGGATAGAAGTATTGGTATTCGGTGCTCACAGTCATCACTTCCTCCTCTTGATCCACGGGGAAAAAGTGAGAGGCATGCCCATGATGTTGACAACACCCCGCCAATGGGCAGGAGAAAACCTGAGAACGGCCATCAACCCAAACGCCGCAGCGTCAGCAGCTGCACCACCACCAGCAGCAGAAGCAGCAGTAGCAGCAACAACAACAACAACAGGAACACGAGCACAGCCAATAACAAGGGCAAAAGTAGCAGTGTCAGGAGGTAGAGCCATTTGTATTATTACCCTTTAATAAGGGACGACCAAGAGAAAAAGAACAATGGCTCATCGTGATGTGCTGTAATTGGTGAAGTTATTGCTCCAGTACTGGGGTCTTCCGAGCGACGGTCGCCTGCAAGCGTGAAAACGATCCCCCCCCTCCAAATACGTAACAGCATTAGCAGGAACAACCGAACACAGACCAAAACACCACCATGCTAATATATATATATATATATATATATACACATGCTTGCAAAAGGGATAAGGAGGCTACGGAATGCATTTTATCTGTTTGCCGGCCTTATATTTCTTTTGTTTCTTGGTTGTGTGAAATGCTTGTGTGATGCGTGAAGCAGAGAGAGGGATGCTGGCTGCAATGCAAAGAGGGCGCCGGAGGGTGTTAGATAGGGAAATAGAGGCAAAAAGTTTTGTCCAATTTTTTCTTGGTTTCTATTTTCCCTTTTGTTCGTCTTTCATCTTATTTCCCCCTTATTGTCTGACCCTTCCGGATTTTGCTTGCAAATCCACTCCCTTGGTGCCTTTTTTCTGTTTGGTTTCTCTGGTGCGCCACAAGCACGCACAGTTATATACACACAATTACACACGGAGAAAACGCGAAGTGCGCAAACACGAAGACATTTTTATTTCGGCCTTATTCTTTCGCGAGCTTCTTCAGTTGTTTTTGTTTGCCAAATTTTTTTTGTTTTGTGTTTGTTCTTGTTATTGCTCCTTGGGGCGGCTGTTGGCATGTCCTCCGATTGCCGGGGGAAAGCGCCAACAACCGTGCGCTCCCGCCGCTGCAGCGAGAGTTGAAATGCATTGACGCGGACGCCAGGGCCTGTGCTGAGGCACTCGCTCCAAAGTGCATTAACCTCCAAAAACAACCCCCATATTGCCCCGCCCTCCCTTTCCAGGGATCGACCGTGGGGCTGAGAAATTTCCTGTATGTGTCTTGCTCCTCCGCCTGCTTGGCGGCATAAACAGCGGCAAACGGCTCTTCAGACTTTCTGACCCGCAGGGTGAGCGAGGTCTGTGTCCTGTCTTCGCAGGCGCAGCCAACGCGCCCGGATGTGCTCCTGAAGTTAACGAGAGGAACTCCCTTGGTAAAGGTGCTGAATGTTTGAGGGTCGCGAAAGGGCAAGACGGCATGGTGCTATCGACTGCCACGCCGGGCTTGCCGACTCTCAGCCTTCCCCCACCCATGTGGAGTACTAAGCCTTGAAGCCATGATAGGGGCGGCCGACTTCACGAAGAGTTAGTCATGAATAATTGCTGTTTTCGCTTGTGGGACGACCGATATTTTTGTAAGTGACGAAAATAGGAGTGAATCGGAAGATGTCATTTTTTTTTGTTGTTGTTTCGTCAGTTTTTTTGACCGGTTCCGTCTTTCTATGGGAACATGCAGAAAAGACATGTGCTCATTTGTGTTTTTGTTTTCAATGCTCTCTGTAACTCTGCATTGCTACCGGTTGATTGCGTGCTACGGTACGTCTGTTTTGCCTGCTTTCATGCATAACTGTGGTGTGGTTGGTGCTGACGAGTCCCGCATGATGCTGGGCTGTGGTGTGTTGCCTTTGAGAGTCTGGAGGTGGTGGCACTTTTTTTTGCTGTTGTTGTCTTGTGCCAGCTGCCTCGTTCTCGAGTTGTAGGCTGTTGAATTCGTTCTCTCTAGGTGTCGCACTTCCTTCATTCATCTGTTCCACCCCTGCTGTTGGTGTTTTCAACTGCTTGTTTTTTCTTTGCTCGTGCTTTTATATTGGGGTGGATCATCGCTGTTTTACGCCTTCTCTCTGCGTGTGTGTTTGTTTCTGTGTGTGCTTGTGTGCCTCTGCAAGGGTGTCTATACACGAACGTATGCCCGCATATACATGTATGTATATGTATATGTATGTATGGAGAGAGTGCGTGAGAGAGAGAGAGAGA